ACAATATAAAAAGAGTGAATATGGAACAGAAAAGCATAATAAAACTTGTAATGTCCTGGAATCTGTTTCCTTTAGATATAAAATATCTGTACAGTGTACAGTGCCCTTCCCTGACTCAGGCAGAGAAGGGCACCACTCCCATTCTGTGGAAACTGGGAGTAACATTCTGTATCTGTAATCTTTTGATACCAGCCGCAGGGCGCTCCCCCTCAGTACAAACTTTCCTCTGTGTTTCAAGTATCGGACATATCGTGTGGAAAGCACAGTTTAAAGAATAGAGCCTTTGCAGATGTGACACGTTAATGAGTGATTAATTCATTGGCTGCCAAAGACGCCTATAGACCTCTTTTATGTTTTTCAGCGAGAGTGGCTGGGGGACGATCTGCTAAAGCTTGTCCGTAAATATGGGCTTCTAGACAGAGTATGTAGTAACAAATTGACCCTCTAGGGGGCAGTGCCACTTTTGATGGGAGATGAGCATAGACTGTAGGCAAATAAGAAAAAGGGAACGGTTCTATGAGAGAACATGTCGCCGGTGAGACGCAAGTCCAGGAAGCTCACACTCAAACAGAGTTTGTGTCACAATCGCAGTAGTTCGGTTGGTGTCCCGATCGTGGGAAATGAAGGAGATCAACCCGGGCCAAAGGAGAGAGGAGATCAAGCTCACGGCGAGTTTCACCACAGCTCAACTCCGCAGATAGTTCCGGGTCAGATGAATTTAGCGATTTAGCCAGATGTTGTTTTTGCCGTTTTATAGAAGGATACAACTTTTAAGATGTTTGAGGTGTCACAAAGCCAAAAAAATTGCATCAAAGACACTTCTCTGCTTGAAGTGTATCTTTTCACAAAAAGCTTGTTTTCTCCATTTATTGGTCAAAAACGGGTGTTTTTGTTGAAACCAACCTATGTTCTACTACTAACTAAATAACGGAATAAGGTAGAAAAAATTTTTTCCTGATGAAAGAAGAGAGCCTGGTGCAGAATTTAACTCATTGGCTGCCAAAGACGTCTATAGACGTCTTTATGTTTTTAACGAGAGTGTCTGGGGGACGATCTGCTAAAGC